GAGGAGGAGGAGGAGGAGGAGGGGGAGGAGGAGGAGGGGATGAGGAAGAGGAGGAAGAGGAGGAGGAGGAGGAGGAGGAGGAAAAGGGACAGACGGAGAGAAAGAAAAAAATAGAGGGTGTGTGTTAGGTTTCGTTTTTAATGAGAAGGATGAGGGCTGTTCCATCTCTCTTTTCCCATTCTTTCTTGGGATTCTTCTGGTCTGTTGCTCTACTCTGATCTTGGGATAAAACCTTACCTTGTGGCGTCGGTGGCCTAGTGGTTAGGCAACCGGGCTCGTAATCGTGAGGTTTTGCGGGTTCGGGGGTTCGAGCCGCGGGCCCGACGTTGTGTCCTTGGGAAAGGCACTTTATACGTTTTTTCCTCTTCACCCAGGTGGGAATGAGTACCCGGCCATAGACAGCGAAAGATCTTGATAATATATTTTGTGTTTTAGCGGGTAATAGCATAGATTGTGAAGCGCATAGAGCTTGTTGTTGTTGAGCGGGGATTTGCGCTATACGAATGAAGACTACAGGGGAAAACGACTGTAGTCACAAACTGAAATCGCGAGGATACCAACTTTGAACGTTTGTTCACTCATAACTGTATTTCTGTTCAACTGTTGGTTGATTATTGTTGTTGGATTAACCATTCAACAACACTTAACAACAAACCACCAGCCAAACAAATATGAGTCCAAAAGCTTTCAAAATTGGCACCCTCACAATTTCCACTTTGTGGTTACCGTCATTTTCCCCCTGTGCTCTTCAAATGCTTTCTATTAACTGTTTGTTTATTGATTCCCACAAGTCGTGGGCTCTGTGACCTTCGAGGCACTGCTCCACCAACAAGAGCGAGCGACCACTAACGCTTACCACGACAGACTGCTGAACAACATCATGAGATGTCCGATGTCCTTTTTTGAGACAACCCCTACAGGTAAGTGGCTCATCATCATCATCATCATCATCATCATCATCATCATCATCATCATCATCATCATCATCATCATCATCATCATCATCATCATCATCAT